TTCCAATCACCTTTGCAAAGCATAAATATTCTGATAGTTTTAGATGGGCATGGGCTGACAACGCCCCCGCACTTGATGAAATCCTCTTCGCATGGCTACTGAGATATTTTTCGGTAGAAATGTTTGTGTTCATGAAAGCTCAATTGTCAGCCAGGGCGGTGTGGCATCCCTCCGGAGCCAGTTTCCTAGATGAGTCCGCGGATTTATATTTGGTCTAAAACGTGAGGAAGGGGCTTGGAAATGGTGGTTGGCGCAGTAGCTATGGGCCTAGAGTTTATATTGAATGGGGAGCTGAGGATTGGATTATAGAATGCTCGGGGTTTGGCTTCAGGTTAATGTTAAGGTTACGTAGCTAGGGTGTTAGGCGTAGAGTTTGGATTATTTTTCAGTCATCGTTAGTATGATACTTAATAAATTAATAAGTAGATAAATTATTATTCAATTAAAAGGCCTATTCTCGATTAAATGCAGTTCCGTGAGATTAATCGCTCGGCAGTCACTAGTGATATGCTGGATATTTCGCGACACATGGGCTGCTCTCCATTACATATTTTAAGCTTTTGTTAGGATCACACAATTCTGAGTGTCAGAAAAGCCACGTCAAGCAGCAGCTGTTGGAGCCCAATATCCAGTCTTCCACTGACTTCAAAATATTCCCACAGGGAACGAATTTCCCCGTCAGTTGGCAATCTTCCAAGTAACTACTTTAGAGCGTCATAATAGATTCACTGTGTCAGATTTATGTATGACGGTGATTCGTTGTAAGGATGGGTACCTCATTCTCGCCTCACTCGCTTTTCTCTCCCGTCGCACCCATCGACTGTCCAAACCTCTCTGACATTTTGTAATAGACTTGTGCGCAGGACTGACAAAACTGGACAATCCATCTACCGGGGTCATATATGATCACCTGTACCGCACGTACCAGAATGCATCGAACTATACAGGAGAGAAAACCGGTGCCTGGCAGTTGGACGCCAATTTCACCGAACACGGATTTGCTGCACGCCAGACGGACTTCAGCTGCCACTTTAACAACCAGAAGCTACAAATTCCGCATAACCTGAACGGCATTTAGTATTTGCACAAGTGAAGGGCATTTCGGTTGTCCTTCTCACCGAGGTTCGCATGATTGGATATTTTTCATTAGTGGACTAGTACACCAGATCTACTAAATTGTTCAGAATATCATCAATTTCCT